ATATTGGACCGGCAATAGAGCATTTTGATTGGTTGATTTTAGTTATTGGCCCTCTGCCCGAGTCGTGTAATAATGAATACTACTTACCACTTTTCGGACTTCTTTCTGATTTGACTTTGAGTCCTCACCGCTATGTGTTGTCTTGATAGGGGTACTTTCCTCTTCGCCCTCGACGTGGCAAAATGCCAGTGGAACACTTGGATCAGGCCAAAAAGACTGCGGCAATTTTGGGTCATTAGTCGGTACAGATTCGTCTGTTTTTAACTTTCCTTCGTAAAAATAGTTTGAAGGAAAACTGCAAATATCTTTTTGCTAGAAGAACAGTAAAAAGGTTTAACTTGAATAATACGCTTTTGAAAAAGGAAAGAAAAGAAAAAGAAAAGAAAATAGGGGGAAGGAGTGAAAGCTTTCGGCACTATGTGTACTTGTACACTAGGAAAGGGTTGCAATAAAAAGTTCTATTCAGATATAGCTTAGTCCTTAATGCTATCTTATTAGGAACAACTGTTGTTTCAGAGAAATATCTCAAGAGGTCAAAATTATTTCTGGTTTTTTTTGTTGTTTTTGAAACTTTGTTTTTTTGTTTTATTTTTTGTTTTGCTTTGTTTTTTTTTTTACAATGCAGGAATCGATATTGGGGAAAAACTTGGCTAAAATACTTTTATGTTTTTTGACTATAGTCTTTAGACTCTAAATCATTCTTCAAGCTAGTACCAGAGTCTAAATTTCTGATAGGCAGGAAGGTAGGTAGGTAGGTAGGAGCGATTATTAAGGCCAGCCTGAAAAGAGATTGCTAAATGTATGGGCTCATAATTTATTCTCTAATTCGTAAAAAGAGACCCAAGGTTTTAAAATGTTCGATTACCATTCTGTAGTGAATTTCCAGCATTTGGGCTCGGTCAGAAAGCCTCTCGAACATTGATATGTTCAAGCCAAGGGTCATTGCCTGTTGGTCTTTAACGATGGGCTGTAACTGTTTATGATCTCCGATCAAAACCACTTGCTTTGCTCTTGAGAAAGTGATTGGCACGAGAGATTCAAGTTCCATGCACATGCCGCATTCATCAATGATACATTGTTGGGTGTTATCACAGGAAGCTACCATCCTACGGTTACCAGCAACTGAGCAGGTGCACAGGATAATCTGGGCTCCTGATGATTGAAGTGCCCAAACCTCAGCTTTTCCAATCAACTGAGCATGAGAGAATCAGTGAACAACAAACTCATGAGTTAATAAAGAAATGACGATGTAATTGTAGATAGATCATTGAACTAAACAATCAGTCCAAAGAAAAAATCAATTTACCGACCGACTCACCCACTTGCTGAAAGAAAGAAAAAAGAAGAATGAATGAATGGATGTATGCATGAGACAGAGGCTCACCTTGCAATATGTTTCTACATCTTGATCGCTGGTTCTCTGCTTTTCCTTCCTATTATCCTCAAACTTCTGTTCATACATTCTAAGTAGATCGGCATATGGACAGGGATGTTTTCGAATAATGTGATGTAGCGAAACGTTTTTCAGTTTCTCAGGTATTTCGGTTCCATCATCACTGGACTGCTTAAGATACTGACTTTGGTTAGGGATTGGAAACTCTGCTTGTTCCCTCAGGTCACCATAGACACGAATGATCTTGAGGTCAGGAATTCTGATCATATATTCTTTACAGAAATAAATCGAGTAAAGAGGAAGTAGTTTTCAAAATACTGGGTAGTCATTTTAGGACCATAAATCTTAAGGATAGACTGCTTTATGATCGAATCTTCTTCCTCAGTTTAATGCACACAACTCCTCTTTTCTTATCTTGTCCGGCAATTGAGCTAACACCACTTTTATTTGGGATAATGCCAATAACTATTTTGAGCTTTGATTTCCCATGCGGTGCTCTAAAAATATGCAAGTTTAATTGCACGACGTAAAACGATATGATACTTGTTATCCAGATCTCTCCGCGATTATAATGACTACAGAAAAAAAATAGGCTAATCTACTCTCATGGAAACTTACCAGCAACAACGTCTACTGATCTGTTAGATGGACCACAGTAAATAACTTGCGGGGGTGCTCCCGGTTTGTCTGGATTATCAGGATCAATAGCATCCTGAGAACTGAGACATCGATACCCTTGCTTGTTTTGTTTCGCGAACCAGAAGGCGATGTGGACGCCTGTTACCGTTTTACCCGTACCTACACATAGACGAAATCGAACACAAAATTGTTACAACAAAAGAAGGCTGTGTCATTTATTATACAACATAATTTGATTTTATTATCTGAGTTTAAAGTGTAAATTAGGTACCCTAAAGAGGTTCTAAGCCTGATGTTTCGAGCTTTAGCCCTTCGTTGGAGAAGATATATAAATATCCAAGCAGATAGCTGGACAGACTTCTGGGTATAGACAGACGCGATCATAATTTTTTTTACATCACGAAAACTTTTACCTCAACTGCAATTCAATAAATAAATTTCACAGAGAAATTGGATTTATTCATTTGAAAAGAGTCCTCCCCTTACTTTATGGTGTTATTAAAAAAAAAAAGAAAGAAAAGTAAATACCTGGAGGTCCTTGGATTAGGGTAAATGGCTTAACAAGTGCTTCTTTAACAGCGGCTTGTTGGTACCTATTCAGTGGGTTAAATCTGCACTCGGGATGCTCTGTCACAATTGAGTGGTTAGGTGGAAGCCAAGACTCAACATTAAACCTCCCTGATAAAGTTTCAAACACAGAGAACTTCTTTGGAGTTAATCATGCCAGCACGTTTTTATTTAGGGTAGTTTTGAGTTATGAAAAGATAAGATGTTAATTCAAATATGTGAGTTTATAGATATTATTTTTGTCGTTTTCCATGAGCCCTTGAGTGTCTTTGACCAGGTACCAGGTGGCGGTAACCTGTCAAAGGTTGCCAAGGTTTCATTTTCCACATGATTAATTCACCTTTCTCCTGTGTTTCAGCAATGCTTATTATTAAACTAGTGATGGATATAATCCTGATAAGCCAACTCTCAATCATCTAACTACTGACCTTCAATTCGCTCCTTCCCCATACATATGTCGTGAGTTAGTTTGGACGCATTTTTTAGCTCTTCGAGAGCTGCGAACATCCGTCTAAAAACGAAGAAAAAAAAAAAGAAAAGAATTTAACAATGAATTCTAGCGAGAGATTTTTGCTAGTAAAGTCCCACTTTTCTATCTTTGGATGCAAATCTAAATTACCAATTTTTAATTCGTAGTCGCATTCGTAGATGATGGTTCAAGTTCTTACTTAGTTTGTACACGAAATCTGAATTCGAAATGTTTCCTATTTTGTGTTAATCACAAGCAAGGTTGGATAAAAGGAAAAATAACATCTCAATCTTACATTGGGATTAATCATTCACTTCTCCTTTGTTAAAGTTACATATTGCAATCAAGGGCACATGTACGGGTAATTGAAGAATCTCTTCTGAATCAGCAATATCAGCCAAGACAATGGGAAGAAGGCGTCTAACCCAAGAGCAGAATAAATAGGCCTTTACATCAACTTTAGAATTGCTATTTTTATTTGCTAATGTACGGCAGTATGCAAACCGTTAACAAGTTAAAGAATTGTCAAAGCATTTGAAGTGTCTGAGATCACTTAGCCAGTTTGATTCTTACTGATTTGATTTACCTGTGAGGAAGGGATCTGTGGATGACGCTTAATGTACTCAGATGGTTGTTATCCAACAGCTCTTTCGGAAAATCTGATGCTGATTGATGAAAATCCATTTCAACCTTCCAAATGGGCCCATTGGACTTTTCAACATGTTTGACAACGCACTGTCCCACCCAAATACTCGATGAGGCTACTGAGTTTCCTTTCATGGATGACGTAGCGCATGCATTCGTGAAGCCAGGTTGCTCTTCAACAGCGGAATCCATCTTCTATTCGGGGAAAGAGAGTTAAAATTCGTTTTGAATATACCCACTATTCAAAAAGCTAAACTGATATGTCTTAAATAGATATTAAGTGTGAGTTGATACTGAGACAATCCATGTGACAAACTTTCCCTCGATGATCTTGCATTGCGAAGGGTAGCACTTTGGCTAACAAGGACTCAGTATAGATACTAATCAAAAGCAGGACAGTGCGAAAAATGTGCTAAATATGATGATTTATTACGACGGAATAAAAAGTGCCATTTTTAAAAAAAGTTTCCAAATCCTTTTAAATCCGTACGGGCAGATAATAGAATCAGACAGAAAATCATTAATAAAAGTAATATTTGCCGCTAGCCGCCAAGCCGCCGATCGCGGAAATATGGCGACAAAGTGTGTTGTAGGAGGACGTAGCAACGTGCGAAATTTGCAAGAGGGTATCGCGCTTCATACATTCCTCATACAACACACCTAGTCGGCATATTTCGGAAAATATCGACGACAACCTTCCCAAACAAGTGAAAATGTGTGAAATGCAGACTTTCGTGTTCTCCATTTGACAACACATTACCCGCTAGAGCCATTCCTCTTTAAACTGAGCCATTGAAGATTTGAAAAATTAAAAAAAATTTACACAGAAATACTCTAAAAAATACGCTTATTTCGTTCCGCGAAAAAAAATTTTGGGTTTAGGTGCACTTTAAAGCAAAACAGCTTTTATTCTCTTTCTTGTCAATGTCTTCTGTTGTTTCTACCTAACAGCGCTTGCCCATTTGAACAATGTAACAACACACGAAGATGAAACCGAATTGCTTGCATTACGTTGTCTATTTCTTATTGTAATTCTTCGAAAGAGGAGTTTCGAACACGGTAAGGCAAACTGGCACCAAAGGAGTAGGTTTAAGCACCTTTCATTATCTTAAGGATAAACAACTGAGAGCGAATTTGAGCAGTGAATCACTTTTTAAAGTATGAATTCCTGTAAAAGATTTTCCTACAAAACATCTAGAGATTAATGTTTATCAGTCATTTTGAAAACAAATGAATACGTATGTAGTTACCTGATATTTCCCTATGTCACTGGAAAAAGAATGTGTTTTCGAATTCTTAATGTGAGTGTCATCTCGGACGCGGATACAGACAAAATCCCCTGGGTGGAACTCGATTTGACGAGTTGTGCAGTACTCGTTTTTGAGGCTAAAAGAACCTCGTGGCATTTCCTTGACCTCTTCCCTCCAAAGGACGTCTAAATCGTAAATGGTGAACTCGTTAGCTTCGTCTACAGCTACCGTAGCGGCTTCCATGGCAAGAACAGGTTCCCACGCGGCGATGTACCGATCTAAACTCGAGTATTCCCTCTGAGATGCTCTGTATCTCGTTGTGGTCGCAAAGCACATTCTTGGATGTTTGCGATGCTCGATGCAAATATGGACGTTGGCACTGATCTTGAAAAGCTGAATTTGGGGGTGTAACATTCCATTTGTCATGAGTGCACTCAGCTGAACCTGCACTACATCAAACGTCCTCAGAGATACTTGCTTTTCATAAAAGTGTTCCATCCTTGGATCACATTTTTCCCTTTTGCCCAGGTTTTGTTGGTTCCCGAAAACCTCTTGGCGCTCTGCTTCAATTTCTTCAGTCAAGATTTTTGCTTTTACGTAATCACTCCCTTGAGCTGCCTTCACGAGTTTCTGCCAATTTTTCACGGGTAAGTTTAGGACTCCCCTCGTTCCATTATATCCACCAGATAAAAGAAGAAGTACTTTCTCTCTTTCTTTTTCGAGGATCTCAACATTTCCATTATCGTTCACTTTCGGAGCAATGTATAGCCTTAATTTCCACGTAAGAAATATTTCTGAACTATCCGGATTGATAGAGAATTCGAATGGATTAAGGCTGCTAAATTTAAGCACAGTCTCTTTCTTTGGCACATGCTGGCATTCTCGGCCTGTTATTTCGAGTCTCATTCTCTTGTCCTCGATCATGGCAATAATTGCTTTTGTTTCGCGGCTTGCTTTCTTCAGCTTCTCAGCCAGATGACCTCTACCGCATGCTCTGTCAAACTTCCTGGAGTTCACCTGAGAAAAAGTAGAACGACGACACGCATGTGCAATCCGATCCTTTGAAGGTCGTTCTGCACCGTGATCTTTGGAGATTAAATTCAAAACGAGCCTGTGTACTTGGATGTCGATGTACCGTCGAATGGGTGACGTGAAATGCGTATACTTGCGCTTCCTCAGGGAAAAGTGGAAAATGTTTTCGCCTGGTTGATCTTTCTCACAAACGTATTGAGCCTTCTGCTGAATACGTTGAAACTCTGACTTTGCCACAGCCAACTGAGGAAAATTGCTTTCGTTGCAAATCAGTCGCTTTAGCTCCGTTATGTCTCCAAATTCTGCAGCGTTGCAGACATTTGACCAAACTGAATGTGGAACTTTGAAATCCGCGACGTCTCTTATTTGAGCATCTTTCGTCATCTGCTCCAACTCTAGATCCGAATAAAAGCCACGAAGGAACATAGAATACTTGATAACTTGTCCATTCTTCTTAACCCATTCCTTTAATCTGTGATCTTTGGGTGGCAGTTGAATGCGTAAGGATGCTAATTCTGGAGCTTGGGAAGAAATAAGTTCTCCTATTTTCTCATTGACCAAGATCATCATCTCCTCCACTAACTCGTGCGCTTCATAATCATCTGGTTCATTGCTGTTGGACCAATGATCAAAGCTAGCTTCCCTAAGCCTCAGCTTTCTTCTTTTTTGTGCAAGGGCACTTAAGGTCCGAATATCCCTTTCAACTTTTTTCGGTATTTGCAGGTCTAAGCTTTGTTGACCATCAATGATCTTTTGGGCATGAGAGTAAGTGAGCTGACAAGTGGACCTTACAATTGTGCGTTCTATTTGTGGCCGACCCACCAGTTCTCCATCTGCTGACATGTCAAGAAACACTGATAAACATAATCTATCTTTACCAGGAAGAAGGCTGCAATGATTCTCACTGAGCTCACATGGTAGCATTGGAACACTTTGGTAGTCGCCTCCTGGGTAGTAGGATGTACAACGAAAGAGTGCCTCTTTATCCAAAGAGCTCCCAGGCTTCACAAAATAACTTACATCTGCTATATGAATTCCAATCCGATAGAGGGAATCTGAGAGGAATTCCAAGGAGAGTGCATCATCAAGATCCTTGGAGTTTTCAGGATCAATAGTAAACGCGCCATCAATTACCATATTTGATCGCCTCTCCCGTTCCTGTCCTGGGATTGACCAAGAAGATGGAAACCTCCTCGACACTTCTTCCATACAGCTCTTGTTGAATGACTTTCTAATTCCATGCTCTGCAAACAAAATCTCCATGCTAGTCTTCAAAGTGTACCGTTGTGGTAGTTTTCGAATAAGGATGCCTAAAGGGTTAGTGCAATCTTGTCTCCATTGTAGATACTGTACGAGCAACAAATATTTCCCACTAAGGAATTCTTTGTGGTCCATCTCGTCAACTTTGACTTTCCTCTCATTACCCTCGCGCATTTCCTTGTAGAGGGGTACACCTCTCACACCTTCTGCTGACAGTATTACAATTCTAGGAATGGACTTATTGATTGGACGCATTAGGTCAGGATTCTCATAATCAACCTTGCAGACAAACTGACGTTCGTGAGGGCTGATTATGTGGTGAAGCACACCTATCAAGGAAAAAGGAGGAAAAATAAGAGCCCAAAACATTCTCAGGTTAATCCATAACACATATTTAGTTCGTACGAAAGCGGAATGCTGATGCCATTGACTGACAATAGACCTTTATTCATCGATTTAGAATGCATCCAAATACTATCATTTTCCATTGCCCAGCAGTGATTTGAACCTATGGGAAAAATCAAGCCAAATAGATAAAATGCGCTTACCCTCGATTTTTCCTAGGCGGCTGGGAAGTTCATCAACGGACTGCTTTTCTTCAACTTTCACAACAACATAATCCATGTCGAACACTCTCTTAACTCTTCCCTTGATTTTGATGTCGGGGGTTTTTGTGTCTGATACCATAGCATAAGCATTGTGAAAAGCCTCAGAATCAAGACGAAGTGTAGAAACAAGGTAAGTGAGAGGTTGATCACTCACTAAATTCAAAAGAACTTCTGCATCGAGGAAATAATCCTGCTTAACTGGTCTGGTAAGTCGTTTCAGTCGTTCAGATTTTTTCTGATGAAATCCAGGATTTACCAGGCGAGCCTTTTGCCTTCCTTTAGAGTCGAAATAGATTTGGTAGTCTTCAGAAGAAAGGCCAGAAAAAGTTAACTTCATTTGATAGCTAGGTTTGTCCTGATGATCCATCGCTTGAGATCTCTTTGGTTGCAGAGTTGCAGCATCCTGCAAAGAAGGAAATTCTTCATTCTGTATTGAATTTTCGAGTGCTCTCGTCTCAGTTTCTCTGCACTTTTGTACAAGTGCCTGTATTATCTCGTCAAAGTACCGCGAAAAGACCGTTTCATCTTCAAAACTCTCTCGACGAAAGTCTTCAAAATCTTCCAAAGTACCCTGGTCGATGCTACTTTCATCGTTCTCAAGCTTCGCGGTTTTTCGGACTTCTGAAATCACCAAAAGTTCATCTTGTTGTGAAGACGAATCACCTTGCATAGCGTCCACACAGGGTTGTTGTGTTGCTTGCTGTTCCTCCTCTCCTTCTTCAGCCGTAATCCTTCCTGGTCCAAAATCTACCTGCGCGCTAGATCTTTCAAACTCTGACATAGTAATATGATTATCCAGGCTCGTTTCCATCGCATTTTCATCTTGCAACCCCACAGTATTCTTTTCATTCTCTTCCTTAGGAGGTTTGAGTTCGCTGTTGGCACTTGGAACGAACACTGCTGCTGCAGGGTTTAAAGTAATGTTGAGGAGAGGGGCATCTAACACTTTCCTTATTTCTCTATATGTTGCTCCACACAGAGATCCTAGTTGATCACATCGTCTGATGTAGTCTCTCCAGTTTCCTCTACACTCACCAACACTGCACAGCGAAACAGCATCTCCAATGACGGCTACTAAGGACATCGCTCTGGTTATAGCCGTGTTCAAGAGTTTAGGGTCCGAAAAGAATTCCCAGTAAAGTTGCTGAGTTTTATCCCCGGGACTGTGGAGCTTTGGGTAGGTGAGGGATGTGCGAACAGTGCTTATGAATAAGGCGCGAAATTCCTTTCCTGTAGAAATAAACGAGTTGCGTGAGCCGAGTCACCAATCTGACGTCACGTAAAGCCGAAAAGTGGCTAAAGTTTTGATTGTTCTTAGAAAAATGACAATTTCTGAACTCATTTCCTCAGAGTGAGACCTATCAAAATTAATTTAGAGTCATAGATACAAGTATTAATTAAAACTAATAGTCCAAGCCCTAATAATTTAATTATTCATAAAGAATTTAAACTAGATGAACATCTTATTATCACACCTTAAAAATAATCGTCAAAAAAAACAACAAAAATGACCCGAAAAAGCAACAACAACAGCAACTACAAAACAAAGTTGAAAGAATCACATCCTATAAAGTTTCAATAAAAGATTTCAGCTTCAATACGGTTAAAAGTTCACTAAGCTCAGTTAACTTTCGCATGAACACTTTAAGTGAGTATACCAAGGTAGCCTTTCAATATCACTTGTATCTCACTTCAATCTCAGCTCACTTCAATCTCAGCTCACTTCTAATAGGATCATGGCCTTCTAATCTTCTTTTTACGGCTCGTACAGTACGATCGTTTTAATATTTTTGAAACACTTAGGGCTCACCTTGGACGTTGTATATACTTTCCACTGTTACATTTGCCAGTTCCTTGCTTTCTTTCCTTAGGAGAGTTCGAATTGCTCGCACCTACATATTACAAATTGTGCAATTATTCTTAAATATGTTGCGAACTATTTTGTATAAGAATGTTGTTATTAACTAGAGAAGGAATTATTAAAGTTAGGTGATTGCCAAGTTCAATGACACGATGTAGTGACACTGAAAACAACTTAGGTGTAGGAATGGTTTTGTACAAAACAAACATCTAAGTTAAATACCTGCCTCGTATAAGCAGATATGACTCCAATCCGAGAAAGATCCTTATATTTCCACTCTATTGGCCAATCATCTGCAAGCTCCTTGACCCTCTTTACAACTTCTTTAACTTCCGTTTCGTTGATGTACGAATTTTCTCTGGCTTCTTCCATACCGTAAACAGAAAAGAACAACAGTGGCTGTAACCTTGGGTGTGGAGGTTGTTCGCTGCTGGCTTTCAGCCCTTCTCCGTAGAAGTTATACGACGAAAATTGTAATATTTCCGAGTGACAACGGTAATTCTCGGTCAGAAACATTATCTCGTTGTTCCTCTCTGGTTTTTCTTTGTACATAACATCAAACAATCGCTCTGGCAACGACTTTTGCAGACCCCATTCTCGAGCATAAGGTGAGTACACCTCTGGACTAATCTGAAAAAAGAAAAATTAATATATGGATCCGGCAGTAGGACTCATTGTCTTCCGGTAGGAATGCAAAGGAGTGAACAACAAAGATCATATATCTGCATAGGTAAAACAATTTCCAAGGGAAAATATTCATTTTCATGATTCCCTATAAAATGATTTAAAATCTGCGGAAGCATAATAACAGAAAGAGAAGCCCCCGAAAAGCTTCTCCTTACGTTAATCGTTGAATTCTTTGGTTCATCGCAGTATCCTAGTAGTCTCTCCTTTTTTCCCAAATGCTAACAGTTTTTGGGTCATTACAATACTTTTACATCATGTTTGATATTTTTTTGAATAAAAAATGTGAGCTCACAATTACCATCTCGCCTTTCTTCCTTGCATATCATACCTACTATATCTTCACATTTGAGTCAATCACAATGTCTCTGTTAACAATGTTTCACCTGCATATGATCTCCGGTAAAAACAACTTTAGTGTTTGGTCCGGCTAGCGCGAGTGGTATGAGTGCCTCGGGTTCCATGGCTTGGGCAGCCTCATCGATCAAAATGTGTGTAAAGAAGCCATGGTTTAGATGTAGCTCAAGCAGATTCCTTGATACAGCCAATGTGGTGATTATTACACGATGTCTCATAACCTGTTCTCTTGTGGGAAGTATGTAGGCGCCGTTTTCGATTAGGCAATACTTTTTAGCAATTTCTGAATCAGCGTTCAGTCTGAAATTTCGCAAAGGGGACAATTTTCTGTTAGTAATGCCAGCAACTCTCACTAGCTCGAAACTATAAATCAATCATCCCAAGCGTTAGGCAGTTATTCAAAAGTTTAACTATTGTACAGGCCAAAAAGTAACTCAAGGTTTGCTGCTTACGTCTAAACTACAAACAACCCCTCTCCACGCTTATTCCGTCGCGTGAGTCCAAAAAGACAACACAATTTGGGTCAAGATATTACGCGTAGTATAGCTTACGTAGGCACAAAAACACTTCAGACATGTACATATCATGGCGTCCAGCAGTAAACCTTTGTAAAGAACTCTGAAAAAGTCGCATCAATCTTGCTCGAAAATTGTCCACCAACCGGTGACCCTCTCATACTCTAATGCATAAAATAGTGGGAAAAGGATTGTTTTACTATCACCTTCTCTCCGTGTGATAAATCCTTAAAGGCTTGGTTGCTTTAAGTCCTTTTTGTTTTGTTAAGTACTCGTGTAACAGTTCAACATGTATATTCGCGGCACTGTTTGTATGCGTACACAGGAGGATGTGGTTGCTTCTCCTTGTCACCAACTGACGGATTGCTTGATTTAGGGTGAATGTCTTTCCGGTACCGAATGGTCCGAAGACAACTATCGGTGGCGATGAATTTCCAGGTGATAAAATGCGCTTTATCACATCTTTTTGATTGTCATTGAGTTTGGAGTCCAAAGGAAGCCAGTTTTGTAAATGAATATCCTTTAAGGCAAGAGGGTCTCACTTAGTTCAATATGTTATTTCTAAGTTTGTTGTTCCTTTCTATATAAGTCAAGATTATATGACGCCCTCGCAGGAAATGGTTCCCTCCAGAGTATGAACTTGACAAAGGAGAAACAATTTTGTAACGCGGTGAGCTTCCAGCAACGACCCTTACAATAAAGTTTCCCTTAAACATGGTGGCAGTCTGATAAAGCTAGAGAATCTTCTATTCAATAACACCATAAATTTGTTTCTCCAACCTCGCTTTCATGATAAAAGATGTTACTCATGCCATGAAGAGTTTGTACCACTTCTTCAAATGATCTCGACGGACCATGCATCTACGCAATTTACAAAAATACATGATTACATGAAAACGTTTTGCATCAATAGTAATACACCCACCTCCCGTCGACTGACTTTAGCTGTATTCCTGTCTGGAAACAACAAATTGAGATGGACGGGACCCAGTTTATCGATTGTGCCATGCCATTCGCAGAGGGTTTGCCGATTGAGCTGTAATTGAACATCAACTGATACACAGGAATCTTCTTTTAGGAACAGTTCAGAGCAAACTCGAGGAGAAAGTTTCAGGATTAAAAGCCCTGATTGGAACTCGACATGTTCTACCTTCACCTCGTACACTTTCTTTGAATCGCTATTTCTTGGTTTAAGCCAGGAATATTGCACATTTCTGGTAAGGAGCCTTCTCGCACAGCCTTCTAGTTGATGGAATCCATGCTCCTGGAAACTCACAATGCCAAAAACCTCGCCCTTTTCAGCATATATAAATCCAGATCTTCCGTCAGAGACACTACTTTTGCATTGCAAAATCACATTATCAAGAGCGTAGCTATAAAACAAAATCGTTTCCATTTTTCTTAGAGTTACAAATGCATAACCTCCTGCCAAACACATTTCCATACATCTAATTTTTCTATTTAACTCGTGATTATTTCCAAAAAATGACCTATTGGCAAATTAAAGCATTCTCTTATTATAGATTTCTCTCCCGAGGCAGAGAAGGAGGAGACTTCATTTCCAAAACAGCAACTAATTATCGACCTATGCGCCGATGTGATTGCAAGCAAAATAAAAAATGTCTGAATGAATGCAGTAAATGGATCGATTGTTGATTTTATTGATAAAACTGCAAAACCGAAATTATTGTACTCATTTCCTCTGGGATAAACTAATTGCGGCCACAAAAACAGATTTTAATAACTTTTTTTTTAAATGATAATAATGATAAGAAATGTTGATGATAATGACAACAGTTTTTCAAGATAATGATAACTATGTTTTAGACATATTTTGGGCATAGTCAAAAGCTGTTGGCGTCATTTTGTGTTAGCACCGCCCGCAAAACTGAGAAAAGGCCTAAACATCCCTATTTTTTAGTTTTTCAAATACCGAAACAGGGTTGGCAAAGGAAAGGAATAAGCAAAACTGTATGGCCAGGGCCGTAGCTAGCATGAGGCAAGACGAGGCAATTACCTCGTCTTGAGTTTGGCCTTTTCCTTTTCTTTCTCTTGCACCAGTATCGCTCGGCAATAAAAAAGTGAACTTCCACACTTGCCCAAGATTGACTTTTCTAAAGAAAAGTGCCACGGAAAATGCTTGAAAGAGCATTTCTGAGCCTCTAGATTTCAAAATTTTCTGGGGGAGGTATGCCAGACCCGAAACTTGTCTCGTCTTGTTCTAAAGTCTGGGTACGCCCTTGCTGGCTATCTCAAAAAGGGATTTCATGACGTAAGAAATACAAAGTTCGTCTCGTCTATTTGTACACACCTTGAAATAGCCTTTTTCCTGAAAAGCTCCTCCGTGAACAACAGTTGATGCATTACTCGTTTGTAGTTTTCCATGGTAAGGCCTCTTTCGACTATTTGCAACGAAATGACATTCTCAATTCTCTCCGGCAGTCGGTATTTCTCCAGCAACAGCACATTATGATCCCCCGTGTCAGTAGTCTTTGGCCAAGGTACGATGTCTATTGACCCTTCTGTCCACACAATGGGATCCAGCCTGAGTTGCTGTCGTATCTCTGAGATTCCCCTCAGGGCATCCCTTTTTGCTATGTCCACGTTTAAACCTTGTAATAAGTACGGTTTTTTCCCAAAGTCAAAACTGAGGCACTGTGTAAACGTCTGATTGAGCTTTGTGGTATTGAAGGAGACGGTGATGACTACTTCCATACGGCCCTCTCTCTCATCAGAATCGCAAGGAATGGAGTAAGACCAACGCTGTTTAGGCAACTCATGGAAAATGCATTCGTTGTTTACAAAACCTTTAACCTCAGTTAGCCGATAGTACTCGTGATAGCGATGAAGGAGGTCAATTTCGCGCAACTTTCCAACTTCACTTATCTGATTACGATTAAAAAAAAACATTTATTGAAAATCATGATAATCAAAGTAATAGTAATCAAAGCGACAATGCATTATTGCGCATTTCGTTATTAGTTATTTTACCTCAAATGTGACAGAAAATATCCAGTAAAGTTTACAGCTGGCGCCGTCATCATCATCAGGTAGTACGATCTTCACCACTGGGTCATTATTGCAAGAGACTGTGACACCAGGGAGGCTATAAACCATCTACCGAGGAGAGGAAATGAGTAGTTATTGAGTTGATTGGAGCCAGTTTGTCACTAAAAATCATTAGAATTTAAAAAGACTATGTTCGATAAGTTTTAAAAGCGAACCTTTAAAGAATATGCAAATGAGGGTTATTGGTTTACTTGACCATGCTGTCTGTACTCCACCCGTTTTTACTTTTTTGGACCGAGGGAGACAAAGACATGTTTCGACATTCTCGTGTTGTCTTAATTTCCAAATGGCAATTGCGCAATTAGAATTCTCACTTTATATATACATTTTCAAATTACGAAGTTATATTGTGCTGGTCAGTTTCGTAAACACTTATGCAATAGCAGTATCGTGAAGTATGCCAGACAAAACCAGCGGCATTAACGATGACAATGGCAATGACAGTGGCAATGACAGTGGCAATGACAACGGCTCTGACAGAGACAAAGGCAATAACAACGACAGAGACAGTGACAAGGACGGGGACAGCGACAGAGGATTACCAGTAACAGTAACGACGAAAATGGCAATGACAATGGCAAAGACGATGGCAGTAACAGTGACAGTGACAGTGACAAGGACAACGATAACAACAGCGGCATCGACAGCGATGACGACAGTGACAGCGACAGTGACAGGGAAAGGGACAGCGACAACGACATCGAGAGTGACAAAGAAGATGACAATGACAATGATAGTGTTGATAGAGGCACCTCGCTTCTTGGTATGGCTTCATCCCTTTCTGCTTTCTCCGTGGTTTGTTCCTCGTCACTTTCATTTTCCTGGCCCTCATCATTGTATTCCATCCATGACTTCAGTTCTTCTTCTCCGTGAGCATAGGTACAAAATTTTCCATATCTACACCGCTCACCAGAACTCCACCTTTGAAGAATTCAATTAAAAAAACGACTCAGTGAGAGAGAGTTACCTTTCGCCAATACTAGTTTGTTCAAGACTGTCACTAACTGTGAATATATGAAAACGATATCTAGGGACTGCGGATTAAGAAATGAATATCAAAGCGATCTTTGCAGTAATGAGGTTAACATTACTTGAGTAGTATTAAAAATAAGGCCTGAAACTTGTTTTGAATCTAGACCCGAGAATTACGAAGCAGGCCCTTAATGGAATAACGGTGTCTCAGTTGGAGGAAAGTTGACAACGGACTTTACAAGATCCTGAACAATTGTTGGAGGTTTCCTCCAACTTGTATTAAGCAAAAGAGACAAATACGAGAGAGAGCAAGGAAAGCTTTGATCTACGACGGTTCATAGAGTGTTAACGTGCACACACACACACACAACCTTTATTTATGTGTCAAATCTAAAATAGCAGTTATACAACCACTAACTGGGGACACTAAATACTACCTAAAAATTTAAGAAATTTAAAAATAAAACAATATATATGTACAATTTAAAATCTAACCTAAGTCTTACATAAAAGGCAGTTTTCATTTTTCATTTTTTTCATTTTTCAACAGAAGGAGTGAGTTGTCAAGGTCACATGTCAATCTTTAGTTTTGATTCCGGAAAAAAAAGTTCAGTTGATCTTCTCTTATGTAAATCCTGCCATTCACCGTTGCTGAAAATAAACGGAGCACTTGCAAAATTTATAGCATCATATTCAACGTTTAACTGTATGCTGTCGATAGAGATGTGTATTCGACTTACCATTTACACAATTGAAATTTCCCTGGGTAAACTTTTGTTGGAGGAGGTCTTGGGTGACTAGGAATGATGGACGATTCCTCAAGTCGTTCCCGAGGGTTAGCCAAGTTTGCGAGATAATCTTTGCTTTGCGTCTTTTGAACCATAGAGGTCTTTCGAAAGGAGACTTGGTCTGCGACGAAAATATCAACGTGGAGTCAAAAGTAATGCATGGAATTAAATTGAAACAATTTATTCGTTTATAACGATACGGGAAGACTATTACTGAGGAGATTTCATTGAACATAAGGCAATGTTTAGCATGAACTGTTAACCTACCTGATTTTCTTTCCATAGTCCAAAACTGTAGCTCCTTCTGGCCATGGGCAAAAGTACAAGGATCGTTTCGACACTTAAGGCCCTCAATGAAGTACCAACATGGTCGGAAAGGAGTTTTCGAGCTCACCTCATTTGGATAAGGTCTCATTACTTGCCATTCTTTTTTGGAACTTCTCCAAACTCCGTAGAAATGTTTTGACGAATCCTTTGAACACCTAAGACAAAGTTTCGGACGCTGGAAGGCTCGCCCTCTTCTATTATCTTGCAGAAAGTGTGCGCACATGGTAAACACACCCTCTGGAAGCATCTTTGTCGACTGACCTGATCTATTGTTACACAATGTGTCAGGGGTAACGCTTTGAGCTGCTTTTTCTGTACTCTCTGTCTTTGCTGTCAGAGGCCCTTCTTCCGAAGCCTTTCCGAACTGTAAGGCACGATGAATTTGCAAAGGAGAAATTTCCTCAAGACGTTCCCATTGAGATTTTGAGGGTTTCGTTACGACAGATGTTTCTGAATTAGCTTTGGTGGAGAGGGTACTTACTATTGCTGCTTTAGCACGACCTTGAGTTGAGCAGTCTTTTCTGGATGTCTGCCTGGCTTTCGTCGCTTTCCATTGGCTTTCATTTACCTGCCCTTCCTCCTTCTGCTTTTGTCCTCGGTAAATGTTTAAGTTCCAGTCTTTGCAATGCCCGATGGCGCCGACGGCTGAGCTCGTGTTCTGGCCTTTTGAGGACTCTTGATGTATCATGGCCTTGGGGTTCTTTTTACGACCTTTATCGCCTTCAGCTGTTCAAAGATAAGTTATGACAATAAAGTGATGGCCAGTTATGTCCTGTCTATCTTAATATGCTCAGTAGATAAATTTCTAAGCGTGAACAAGAAGTAACTAATTAGAGAGCTGGCGTTTAGACTTCGACCACATCATTTACAACTCTCGACCCCAGCCCCGTAAACCATTCGTTTAACTAGTTCAATGGGTCTTTTACATATTTTTTTTTTATAAAACCACTCGCTCGTATTTATGATTATATGTTTCAAAAGCAAGAGGAAACGGGAGAATCTATTTCTCATCAATATTCACCAGTGGCAACCTTGGACGTTCTAGATCTTTCGCTGACTTTTCGCTGTTTTGGTCTTGCGCCTGATGCAATGGCAGCTGAGAAAAGGAAAAAAAGATTATATGACTTTTTTTGTATGCCTAAATTACCTTTTCTTCCTAATTGAAGAAGTGCTGATGTCACACGAAGGAAGAGAAAAATGACTTAGGCGAGTTAAATTTTCACCAGTCTTGTGATGAATTAAGTAAAAGAAAAAAATCATAACACTCAGAGTGACTGTTTGAACATCATCAGAACTACCAGTTACAGCTTAATCTACAGAATAGTTATGTTATGGACAGCACATCAACGGTTAAATAATTAGATATAAAAAATCTGCGAAGAACTTTGGTGCGCATTCCTGACAGGTTTGCGACATATAATTATTGGAAATTACAGTATACGTACCCTGAAGATTAGGCTTTTCATCACTACTGATTCTTTTAAAACTTGTCGCTTCCATAGCTTTTGTACAATAACAAACAAACAATTGCAAAATTTAAATTCACGATAAAACAATTAATAGCATTGCAATCATATGCCAGTGATTAAAGTAGCAAGTTATTCGAACAAGTAATCGGAGCAGGCTAAGACTCAAAAGGTAATTCAGACCCTTATCTGGCTCCTGCTCGTGACAAATATTTCACATCTCCTTTAATTCTCTGACTTGACCAGTTGTTAAAGAAATGCGCGAACAACTTTTAGGCTCTGACAGGATTCAAAATCTTGACCCCAAAAGACTTATGCAGCCGTTTAGCCAAATTTTTTTTCTGCCCCCTCCTGCTATACCCTTGAATGATGACACCGAAAGTGAATAAAAACGTTTTGATTTAGCTGAGTGGTGTTCCCGGAAGCTACCATACTACTATCCGAAAAAGGGTCAATAAATTAACAAATACTAGATGAATTTATTACATCCATTTGAAATCACTGGTAATCCTTGCAATCTGATTAGCTCTCATTGGAGCAGTTTTTTCCCAAATCGCAGCTTTTTTTGCTCTTAATCGCATATTTTCCCAGCCAATAAGAAATCTTTACTTTAACGCGACAACCACTCAGATTTCAAGGTTTATTTAAAGAAGCCAATAATGTTGAAGGAAAATGAAAGACAGCTTTTGCAACTTTTTATCCTACAGCTCAGTTTTAGATCAATAAACTATTTCTACTCACTGAGAAATCCCGTATTTTAGCGACTGAATTGTGGGATTTAAAAAAGGGTGCAATAAAGTGATAATTCACAACCTCATGTCCTGAAATTTTGGTCTGAAATCAAATTGTGATTTCAAATCAAACTCGCGTTATGCACTCGTTCGAGTTTGAAATCACTCGTATGATTTCAGACCAAATTGCACTCCACTCAACTCAATTGCCATTAGAAATCAAGTAGGCAGCCTTAAGGGAACAACCTAGGAAAACAGATAGTGGTACTTAACTATCATCGAACTAAACAGATATGAATAGCTACAGCTAGTTTCGAACGATTTTCACCTGATTTTACATCGTACGAGGGAAGTAGTTTTTCTTCATCCAAGGCACTCTCTTTCTGTGGTGAAAAAATGAATAGAAAAGTAAAATACCTATCACCATATAATAAATTTGGCCTGGATTGAGAATATCGCGAGCTTTTCTTTTCTTTTGTAAAAGATTATTCTTAGGAGAGTACAAGGAAACGGAAAAAAACCAACAGCCAAGACTAAGTCAAGTTGAAGGGCCATAGAAAAGGGCAAATCCTCCCAAATGGTAGCCAACTGAACATACGTACCAAATCCATACTGTAACAGTGAAGAGCTATAATATGATGGATGCATGTGCCACTTACTAGCTAACTATTAATAATAACATAAGGACATCTGTTTAGGAAAGACTAACCCCGTCTTGCTTCTGTCCTTTACTTTCACTATCTATTTCTATTATATGCTTGATTTCAATGCCAATTTCCTCCACTTCCTAAGGAAAAAAAATTCAGTCAATCAATACGTCAGTCAATTACTTAATCGGTCGGTCAGTCTAACGGTCTATCATTTAGCCACCAGTGGTTCAACAGATTCTTTTGGAATAGTTTTGTTGCCTAGGGTCAGAAAATGGGAAGCTTAGAGACGTAGCTCTATACACTCCATAAGACTACAGAACAAATAGCGATCGAAAAAAAAAACAACAACAACTACTTACTTTCATTCGGCGATGTTCTTCACACTTTTTTTGTCTTCTGTTCATAGCCTAGTTTCATTAAAGGGCAGTATCTATTAAAATCTTCATCCTACATGATCCAGGGAACGCAGATAAATCATGGTTTAGCCCTTATTTATTAGGATAAGCCAAAAATTGAGAAGTCACATTGTTTCACTTTAATCAAAGAATAAGACTTCACAATCAACAACTATCACTATTCGCATAGCGACCTTGTGAAATCACCTGAAGCCACTAGTTTTCATATTACCAATTTCTAACTATTTGCAGTACTTCTGGTCTATCACCATAACACGTACCGGTTTCTTATCTGGAACAACTTTAACAGGCGATGGAGCGTCAGATACCTGAAGATGAAATATAAGATTTTACTTAAAAGTGAACGTTCTTATCGATTGATCATTTATGAAATTAAAATCCTCTTCAACTTGATTGGCAGATCTAGATGAACTGACTGACAGACCATCAATCAGATGGATAAGGTCAACTTAAAATCTCTTCAAGTCAGATGCCTACAGAACTTTCTAATCATATTGTACAAGAGTTTATTATTTACTAACTATCCAGGATATTTAAATGATATGTTTACGTTTATATCTACGTCCTATAACTTACGTGGTAGTTACATCTTCTTCCTTCCAAAACCTAAAACTACAACATATGGCCTTCACTCTTTCACTTACTCAGCTGCTAACTTATGGAACTCTCTCCCGGACACCTTTAGAACTTCCAATTTTCCAGACTTTCGGCACCAAATACTTCAGTATGACTAGTTTGTGTAACTATACTGAATTTAGTAGTATGATAATATTTAAATAATGTTCATATGTAAATATTTATCTTCATTAATGTATCACTATTCATTTATTCTAGTTTAGCTTAATCCCTTTACTTCATTTTAATCATTCGAAGATATTAGCTTACAGCTACTCTTAAATTCGAGGTAAATTCGTAATGGTTGTCACACTGAACCCTTGACTGACGGACTTTTTATCTAAGTGATGGCTGCATGCTCTCATTGGAGGGATAAGACTGAGTGACCTAGACTCAGCCAACCTTTTCGTTTTTTGATGATGACTGACTGACTGGCAGACAACCTCACAAAATCACAGGAGATTAACGAATCTCTTTACCCAAAGGTAATGCTCACCGCTGTTAACGTTGATTTTTTCTTTTTTGTGCCCTTCTGATCTTTATTCTGTTTTGGGATAGTGGCATCAATGCTTTCCATAAGGTTTCTTGCCTCGTCATCATCAGGGTGATGTTGTAATACTGCCAGAAGACAAGTATAGGTTGTAATCGAGAGGTATGGAAGAGGGCTTTTATATTATTTTATATTTATATTACAGAGATCACACATTGAATCGAGCGACAAGATGCATACCTTTCTGGCAGTTTTCCTTCGCTTTGAAGCTCTCACCCTTTGGGATAATAAACGGAATAAATTCAATTTAAAAAGGGCGTGGCTGTTACCGCAGACGGCTTTAAATTCTGCTTTTTAATCAGGGAAGGTGCGTCTTGAAAGGGAAGGGGGGAGGGAGATGGGAAGCCACGACAGTTGGTATATAGGTTGATATATGAGTATTATTGAATAGGAATATTAAAAAAGAAACTCCAATTTTCGGTCTGATAGCGTGCATTTGAAACTAAAAAATCCATCAGATTTCAGTGGGTAGTTTCTCAATTCCCCTTCCTCTTTATCTTGAAACTTTGTTGCTCACTGCTCCTTAAAGTGAAAAGCACTAACTGAACCTTTATGTGGTCCCCTGAAAGTTGAAAATGAACAGCTGTGATTGGAAGACTACGTGATCACTAACTATGGAAAAAAATAGACATGCCACAAAAAATTAAAATGTGATAAACGAATCCATTGTAAGCTACAAAGGAAATTTAGAAACAGCATCATCGAAACCCACCAATTCAAGTTGACATCTGGCTAGATAAAAATGAGGATCACGATTGAACACACTGAAAACGCGAACAACTTCAATGAAATGTTCAACAGCTTCCCTAAATGCGCCATTTTTGAAAAGTGCGATTCCAGAGGACATAAGATCAATCCTTAAGTCCTTTGCTAGTTTAAAGCTCTGCGAAACAAAAAGAAAACAAGTCATGAAAAAGGCAATTACTTAGTATCTTACAGATCAACAATCGGAAACAACAACAACAACAACAACAACAACAGCGTTTTCTTTTTCACTCGACATAATTAAATTGAATTATAATTCTTCGATTACGTTATTAAATAAAATTATTTCCTAAATATTAAGATAGTAGTCTTAAATACTAGAAATTTAAAGCAAAGTTAACCAGAGGTTTTCTTCTTAGCTCCCTTGATAGCTCTATATGTAGCTCAAAGATTTACAGACGGTTCCAGGTTTGTACATGATGATAATTGTCTACTGGCGAGTAGACGTATGGTACGCAAAGGAAAAATTGTTATAAGTTCGCCAAAAGTTCTTCATCTAAATGTAGAGCATGAGGAAGTGGGGTTGCTACCAGGGCAGTGTATCAATCGACTCAGCAAGTCAGTAGTTTCCTGCCAGTAAGTATAGATGAACCTCCCCATAAAGCTATTAAAACTGAAGAGTCACTTATTATTACAAGGGAACGCTATTTATGAAGTTCTCATTTATGGTAAAGAAACCTGGCTGATACTTCTTTTTAAAATTTCTCTTAGTCTTCTAACGTGAGGCTTTGCAACCTGAAATATAAAACGAGAAGGGAGAGTAATAAATAGGATCATGCTAGATATCAATTTGGTTGTCAGCCATTATCGGCTGAGCGTCGTTACTTTCAGAAGGTCCTCAAGCATGAATGTATTTTGTATAAGAGAAAGTCGAGCACATAGTTCAATTCTTCAACATAAATAGTGCTCAGTAGGGTAACATATGCACAAGCACACACAGAGTTAAAGCTTTAAGACCATTTTTAAAACCTTATTTCTTGTTCAGGTTAGTGGATCAAGAATATCTATACCGGGGAGATACACAAGGTTGCCTAATACTTGAGTTACAAAGCTTTCAAAAAGAAAAAAATGTTAAAAATAAGAGCTCTCAGGGAATATTTGACTCGTTTCTTTATATATTTGATCTATCTATTTATTCACTCCCTTTTTTTCCAATTAAATAAAGAACATTTGTGATGTAAATGTTGGCCTATCGATTATCAATCTCTGCATGCCAAAAGAACACAAGATGTTATGTGGTCACTTGCAATAGGCTCTATACATCACCGCAGAAAATTCATCAAGGATACTTGACAGGGAAATTCTCAGAGCTAGAATTTATCCTCAGCCCTCTTCATTCTCCTGAGCAGGTGTATGGGTATGGTCTTTGCCAAGTCATACACTGCACGCATAAAAGCGGCAAAACGTTTCGATGACAAGTTATCTCACACCAGTCTACTTGTTCAAGAGGAACTTAGTAAGGTAAAATTTGTCAAACTTCAAATGTAGATTGTAAAAGGGACATTTATTAGGAGAAATTCTGACTAGTGTAGGTGCGGCTCGATTTAAACGCTTGTAAAGAGTAATCCTTGTATAAAATATTGTATTTACCTCGAAATGCGTCGCCTTTAAGGACACAGCAAGCAGAAAAGCCGCTGTAATATCACCTTTTCTCTCGAGGGTGATTAACATTAGCAAGGTGGCACGACAAATTCCGTCTTGGAAACCTTCCTCTTTGCTCAGATTTAGAGCTGATGTGGAACAAAAATACATACAATAACATTTGTTGCCATCTCAAGTCATCATCGATAGATCATGAAAGTTTAAAATAATAGATTCAAATGCATAATAATAATAATAATAATAATAATAATAATAACAATAGATTCAAATACATACAATAACATTTGTTGCCATCTCAAGTCATCATTGATAGATCATGAAAGTTTAAAATAATAGATTCAAATGTTGGGCAGCTTGTGACTTACACTTGAATGGCCTTATCTTGAACATGAATAGGGAAGGATGCAGTATATTTAGTGATCATATTTACAAAATACCAAGTGGATGTGTAAGTATATTTACTGTCGGTTTAAAAAAATGACCTGTAACCATGTGAACTGACAGCTCTATAGGGAAACGTTAAATCATAAAATGTATTGTAGACCACAAATAAGTGTGGCTAGCCAAGTCAAAATGTGTGTCATTACCTGCCTCACTTTCTTTAAAAGATAACTCATGATTTCCCTACATGATTGAAGAAGAAATATTTAACCATTTCAGTTTAACCTTATTTCTCCTTCATCTTAGGGGTTTTGATGGGGAAGGAGTATTTTATATATCAATAACAATGATAATGACAATAATGATAGTATTAATATTGATAATGATAGTAATTATGATCATGATAATAAATGTCTGAAAAAATATAGCGGAGGGGAGTTCTTACCCAAAAAAGGAAAAACATTGCTCTTTCCATCATGGCCATCACTCTATGCTGGATATCTTGAGAGCTGTTTTGATGTATATTTACCAAGGTTGTAGGTGTGTCCTGTAGGTAATCAATGACGCCTCCTTTTTTAAACTTTAAGGATCTTCTCATGAGCAAAACATTTAGAGTTCCAAAGAACTTAGACAATGAAACTGTACGATTGCTGAATGTCAATTTTTTTAGAGCAATTTATTCTACGCCAAAGCAAGAGAGAATCAAATTAAACTGGCTTGAATATCTTTACCTTGAAGTTCAAGTTACCTGTATGAGTTAAGTTTAATGGAGCTCAGCACTCATGTGTGCTTACACAAAGTTTGTGCAATATTAAGTGATATAAACATGAAGACTGACCAACGAAAATAAAACTCACCGCCTGAAGTGGTACCACATCTCCTGGTCGCTGCGGTGAGTTCACGCTTCTAGTGATACGTATTAGAATAGTTAGATTTATACCCAGAGTGTTGATTATGACATGACATAGACTGTGGTAAATTTAGTTATGTCACTGGACTAATTCCTTAGGTCTCATTTCATTTGCATGTTTGTTCCTCAACTCGACCATTCCTAAATGGTTTTAACACCTTTAAAATAATCTATTGTAGGTTAACTGCGGCATGCAAGGTTGATCATGCAAAACAACAACTCTGTGAAGCCAAAACATGCCAAAGAGAATTTATTTATATATGCAAGTCTCTATCAATATATCACCAATTCATTGATCTAACAAAATTGATAACAGAATGAATAACAACACTTTACCTCTCTTTCTCTTTATTTTTGCGTCTTTTACCACGAGGCATGACGAAATGTTAATCTTAGTTTCCCAGATTGTTTTTGCTAACTGTGCGGTAAACGAGGTAGAAACTGCATGAGTTTTTGTTGAATCTATAAGAGTGAGGTAGCTAAGAACTTATGAATCTTAATCAACAGCAAGCATGTATTTTTGATACTGAACAAGAGTGATCATCTGATGTCGAGTCCAGTCTGCCACTGAGAGATAGGGTAAGGGCCCACGTTTGATTTTGGTGTTTAAGCCCCAAAATATGTCTATAGAGAGCGTTATCGGCAGATCAAAGTCAGCTCAGCTCATTCCCACTCACGCACTGATTAATTGACAGCACCTACAACTGATATGTTGTTTCACGACATCGAGACAACAAAGGCATCTGAGATAACAAAGGTATTTTCGCTGTTCTTATGAAAACTTAGCTGTTTTTATTACTCGGGCTTCTGTAGGAAAGTTCGAGTCTTAAAATGCAAGCCGTTCTTGGTCGTCAAAAGGGGGTTCATGGTCCCAGGCGTTCCTTGCGTAAACCGCGGAAACTGGGGATGAGAGTGCGACAGCTTGTGTTATCATGTGCTCGCTCTTCGTAAGCAACATAATTTACAGAATACTGTGCTTCGCGAAGACCGCTTTGCAAAGATTCCTGTCTGATACGCCCATCTCATATACAAACACACACGTCGTTCGTGGTAGGCCCAGCTAAAGGATGTCGAGCGTTTTCAGAATGGCTTGGTCCACGAGCTCTCTAGCTTGAAAGCTAGCCAAATGTGGAAAGTTCATACTAGTTCTCACGAGATAACAAATGAGACTTCAAACTACGAAAATACTGGCAAAACTGTGACAGCCGATTTAACAACAAACTATAATGCTGAGATGAACACCTCACTTGCTGAAAACATCAAGAATGCTCGTTAAAAACTTCGAAGTGGCGCTAACAAAAGCGAATTGGATGAGGATAATGACAGAAGAAACTTGAATAGTAAGGTTAAATATCTGAGCTTAGCTCTTCCGTTAAATATTCTGTTTCTGTTCTTGGCTTTTATTGGGATCAATACTTGTAAAGTACAATTTGGTATTTCGTACATAATCACTATTATTATGGTACAAGCGATCGTGAAACCTCTGACGTAAAAAAGTTTAAGGCTAAAGTCTATAATTATTTTTTAAATCTGTAATTTTTAATTTTAGCATATTATGATATATTCATGTATTTAGTTGTTAGCATTGACGGCGGAAGAGCCCTAGGAGCTGTTCAAATAAAGTATGTAGTATATGTATGTATGTATGTATGTATGTAGTAGCATGTTGGTTTGCTCTTCTCATGGAGTTGAATTTGGTTAGTGAAGACACCATGAATGGATGTAGTCTACTAGAAAAAGTTGTCAATATGACAAATGTACATAAACATAATAATGTTACAGTGTCGATAAAAGTAGAACACGGTGTCGCCCCAAAATATAAATCTTTCGATGAGGAAGTGGTATCTGTCGAGTCAGCTTTTCAATAACGAAGTTGAATAATGAATCTAATTTTCTTTCAGACAAAACTATATTCTCGTAGTATCTCTTGGTCAATTCGTTTGCAAGTCTTAAGAACGTATCGCCAGCGATAATTTCAGAGGATACAAGCCACAATTTGCCGTTTTAGCATGAAATGTAAATGTCTCACTAACATTCAGACGCTAAAACTTAAATATTCGTCATTTGATTGAGAGGTCAATCATCTCTGTTTGCTACTTACTTGGAATTCATCGATCGCACTTTACTGCATAAAATAACTATCTTTGCTCGGTGCTTCAAAATAGAGACGAAAACTCTTGGGAGATCAGAGATTTATACATATCTGTGGATTTAAATTTCGTCACGGTAAGGTAGAACTGCATAGACTCTTACGTCACAAAAGCCAATTCTCGGAAAATTTAAAATATTGCTTTTCTGAGAAGAATTATCAATCACCTGATTAAATTTGTTTACCTTATCCACTGGCTGCGTTACGAATACACTCACCAACTGTGTACCTGAATCTTATTGAAGAAACGTTGGTCTGAGTTTTCACGACCCAAATGCCCAAACGATATCATATTTGTGCAACTACGTTTGTGACGAAGAGAAATTTTTCAAACTCTTGCGATTCAAGGAATCGTCCATTTTCTCGGAACTGATACGAATTTTCCTGTGTATTTACATATTCAGCAGTTCCCGGAAAAACTACAGGTAACCGGAAATGATCTCAAAACACTAGTACTTAGAATAAACCGATGGATACAAACACGTCGCGGCAAACATATGACAAGAGCATCATATGTAAAGGTCATATTTTCAGTCATCACATCTTTCACATTGAAAACCACAACCGTATTAAATGAAACACAAACGTGCCAGCAATTAATAAGGATACCGACATTAATTATGGACAAGTCGCGTTGAAAAATGTGAAAAATAAACTTTAAATCAGAACTAAGATAACTAAAAAGAGATGCAACACCGGCTGTTAGAAAATGGTAACTTACTCTTTCCCAAAGTCGGTGCAATTTCGTTCTAAGTAGATATTGAGGTAGGTTTAAATTTATTTTGAGCCTAACATAGACATTCCTCGATATAAGTTTACGATATTACGACTCTTCAATATTTTCCCATACATTTCTTTATATTTCAAACAAACGACCAGACAGCCGCTTGTGTGGGCCTCCTGTGGTACATAGAGCCCCAAAACGAACGCACAAGCACCACGTGTAACAATCCAAAGTGTTTAATTTTATAAGATACAAAAATGGAACTTAGCCGGGTAGTGATAAACTAGGTATAGTTGCTGAATACTTGGTGTGATTGCGATAGCAAATGCGGTAGAATTATGTGTTCGAACTAGAAGGTAACAGAAAACGAAACGAAGGTAATCAATCGACTTACAAATGATGACACAGCACAATGACCTATTTTTGAAATAAACTGGACTAATAATAAAGGAAATGATAAACTAAATCGAGCGTAAAACAATATAGGTAACTTACTTTGGTAGAGCCCCTGGCGTACTTGAAACGCTCGGGTAGCGGAGTAGACCAAAACAATTCTACAGTAGCGGAGCGCACCACCTCTTGTCAGCTATCGAAAATGGTGCTTTTTTTCTAGCCAGCCCGTAATATGACCGAATGACTGACATAAATTGCATAACAGTTTCACACCAATTACAGTAATCGACAAAAATAAACCGTGACGTAGATAAACATTAACTAAGCATAGACAATAGGCTGTTAAGCAATAATCTAAAGGACAAAAGAAATAAATAGCGTTTCAAAACTAACAAGGAAGGAGATACCGTAACAAACCGAGTTAACGTTTCGTTAATCACAAAAGGTCTGATACTAGAATCTGGTAGAGAGAGACCTCCTGATCAACGTGAAGTAGCTCGTAGAGTTGAATTTTGGTATACGTTTAAGGAGTTCTAGAGTTGAATTGTGGTGTTTTAAATTACAGAGCTCTTTTGTCAAATAGTCTATATTTCAACAAGGAAACAAGGCTGAGATCTAAATTTACCTTTCAGCTTTAAATGGACAAGCAAATACGATTAAAAATTGATGGAGACTTCACAGCCAAGTAAGCAGAAGTGAAGCACTTGACAAGATGACAATAAGGACTGTCAAGTGACTGCTGACGCCAGCATTTTTGTCCTATACTATTTGAAATATCAAGTAGATCAATTTCCGCGCGCTTGTTTTTTTTTTCAGATTTTTTGCGATTGTGAGATTATTACCATTAACTCAGCAAATTGGTCTTATTTGCATCTGAAATTATGACATCTTTTTAACCAGTATCTTAAGCTTGTTGGAGCACACTTGGTAATGAGAGAGAGCGGTGTATCTTCTGTCAAATGTTACTTTGAATAACAAATGATTGTTGAATAATAATTTTTTTACTGGATTAGGAAATACAAATTAGTAAAAAAAATAATCGTATCATAATTCTAACTACTTCGTTTGATGATATCGTAATTGTACTCCCTGGAATACATTAATAATACAAGTTACATTTCTTATTTCTTGTGCGATTGAAGCTGGTAGATCAGAGAAATTCTCTTTCAATCGAAGAGATAAAAAGATGTATTAAAAATTATTTTTAATGGTAAAACCATAGAAGGTTTCCAAAAAAAGATCATAAACAGACACTCGGGAAGACTTTCTCAAAACACTTTCTTGTACAACATTACTATTTTAATTTGTGACCAAGCAAACAATTTGTGTGCCCTTATCGGAAGTTTTGGGTCGTTAAAAATATGTTAGTCTTTCAACGACCTTTCTTTGGTCGAGGACGGACAAACCTTGTTCTAAACTAATTACATCCCAATATGGCAAGCCAATTGTAGCAATATTCAATAAATGGATATTTCAATTCAAAGAGTTTAGTTTAATTCAACGCGTAAATTTATGTTTAGCATACTATTTTTCGGGTTCAACGTCCCATTTTGCATTCAACACTTTCTGCATTCAATACACTTGGGTATCATTCTATGCGATTGCTTCAGTTCAACCTCTTTTTATTTCAATAGCACATTTTGCGTTCAACACTTTTTATTTCGTTCAACGCAATTTATTTTCGTTCAACTATCTATTGCACAGCGGTTGACCGAAAGAACTCTTTGATCTTCCCCAGTCTTCACAGATTTCTCGCTTGCCTTTCTAGCCCGCCATTTTGAAAAAAAAACAACGAGTAGTTGTCAGGACAAAATAATGGATCGCTCATATCTTTCGAAGTTGTCATCTTGCCTTGTAGAAGCTTCCGAGCTTGTGAAAATGTAAAATGGGGTTGACAGACCTACACGACTCCCCAGCGTGTGTTTAGAACAGCCTATTCAAAGTTTGGCCTTCACGAGTATATCTGAGCGACCGTCCTCTTTTGTAAGATACGAGGAGCGGATTTTTGTATATTTCGCTCAGTAGTGGTTATAATAATAATAATAATAATAATAATAATAATAATAATGATATAGATCGATTTGTATAGCGCATTTCCATGTAAATGCTCTAATGCGCTTTACAACACTGTGCGAGGGACTTTTCCAGACTGCCGGTGGCAGTTTACAATTAATAAAGGATAAATTTAAACAGATGCCCCACTCCCCTTTCCCAGTAAACAGGCCAGACCACATCACAGTAATCTCGTGGGTTCTTTAACGTCCCCTGCCGAAATTAACTAATTGATAGGTGCAGGAGACGGGACCTCCGGATTTACGTCCTATCCGAGAAGACGAAGCAAAGTGAGTGAAGCGTCTTGCTTAAGGACACAACGTCAAGCCCCAGCCAGGACTTGAACCCGGGCCATCTGACCTAGAGTCCAGCGCACTGACCACTGGACTACTCACGCCTCACTGTGGTTGTGTTTCTATCAAATGCCAGTGTCTCAGGATCTCCTCGAATATTGTTTGAGAAGAGTTTGTTCTGAGAAGTCTAAGGGCCTCCCCTTTTATGAAGCCTTTTTTTAACTCCTTGTGGGTGACAGGAACTATAGTGTGTATACTGAAATGTCTCAGTTTCAAATGGGTACGCAGATCAAGGATTGCGTCTTTTTCGAATCGTTCGCCTTTGTAGATGTAGGTGTCCAGGAATGTTGTTTCCTTATCGGAAATTTCAGCCGTAAATTTTATTGTTGGGTGACGATTGTTTGCTTTTTCAATGAAACGTTCTATTGTTGCTTTGTTGAAGCTGTATGATGAGGAAGGCAAGGAGGTGTCGAAGGAAAAGACCAAGGATAAGTTAAGCAGAGAGTAAGAAGTTAGTACGCCGAAAAAATCCAAGGAGAGAAGTGGCAAGGAAAGCTTTTAACTTCCATATGGGATGATGAAAACTTGATTAGAAAAGAATGTTTCGCGTGGATGACGACCTGACAACGCGCGCCGACCCATACGATCGCGGGTAAGATGGATCTATAGGGGCAGATGCTACCCACAAGGGTATACTCCTATCATAACATTGGTTCCACCCCTGCAAGTGACGCCACTTGTAGGTTGTGTAGGAAAGGAACAGAGAGTATGGCACACGTGATCGCGGCATGTTCAGCGTTGGCCCAAAGTAAATACCCAGAGAAAGATAATGCGGTTCTAAAGGTGTTATACTTTGAGCTCTTGGGATATCTTAGCTGGTTAACGAGGTTCCCCGTGGTACTCTAAGATGCAACCCAAGCCACTGTACGAATCCCAAAATATGCAAGCATTTTGGGATATTCCCGTCTATGCAGAGCATAATGAGGTGAGGGCAAACGGGTGGATGTGAGGATAGTCAATCATCGGGAAAAGACAGTAAGTACCATTGAGGTGAGTTAAGAATTGTGGCAAGGAAGATGAAGACAAAACACTCAAGTATGGACCGCTTCGATGGGAGATGAAAAGACAGTACAAGGGTTACAAGATCAATCAATACAACGTGGTCATAGATGTGTTGAGAGGTTGGAGTAGGAACATGGAAAGATCCCTCAGGATGCTCCTAGGTTCTAGATGCAGAGAAATCTTCAGGCTAATGCAGAGATCGGTCATTTCATGGCGAAGGACTTTGGCCAGACTGCACTGAGCAGTTTACAATTTTTTAAGAAAATATTTTTGCAAATGCCTCCAATTTCAGAATCAAGGCAGACCACAACATCGGGAGCTATTTTCCCTACTCATTGCGATAAGTGTGTAATTAAAGCAACTAACTAAGCGATTTATTGCAAATTTGATAAAAGCCACTTACTGTGGTCACACCTAGCCTTAGTAGTAGCTTCAAAACTCCGGAGGATATAAGTTAAGTAAATTTCAGTGAATTTCAGGCTGAATTAATGGATGAAAGTGTGGGTAAAGATGGAAGTCGGAAAGAACGAAGAAAATACGAAGGAAAGAACGTAGGAACTGAACGAAGAAACAAAAATCGATTAGACTGACGTACAAAAAATGGATTATTGAACTTACCCCTCCTTCTCCTTGTGTTTGTGTT